AGCAGGAGTTCTGCATCAGAAACATGGATTCTTTACATCGTGCCCAGTGCGTGGTGGTGGATGTGCGGCCATAGTCAGCGCAATGATCCAGGCAGCAGCGGTGGTGGCTGCGGCTGAATCCGCAGTGTAGGCTGCACCGGCAGCTGGATTCCGGTTGGTCTTATTAGATCCGCGTAACGCAAGCATCTCCGTGAACGACCCTGGCTGTCTGATTAGCAGTTGAATTTGTTTCCACAGTCTGCAGCTCCAAAGAAGAATGTCTTTAATCTTCCAAACTTGCAGACAAGACAGCTAGGCCTTTGGCAACAGCACAAAAGGCAGTAAAAGTGCACTAGGTTTCATCAGGGAAGGTGTTGGCCAGGACTGTTAGCACTGCCGTGAGTTCTGTCCATGGAGCAGAATGACCACGCCTGCGTTTTAAGTTCTGCGCAGCTGTGCTGAGGTTGAATTCGGCCCCCACTGGGTGTCAGCACAGCCGAACCACCAGTGAACCAGGCAGCACTGAGGGGACCTTCTGTGAATCGAGGGCTTCGCTGACCAGCTTTGCCTCAGGTGATGGAGTGAGGAACAGTTTCCCCCCCCAATTGCTGCCACTCTTTCTAGTAAAACACAGGTAATGTTAGGGCTAGGCCCACTATGCTCTTGAATGTGACTAGTAAGGCTTTTTGTGCCCTTCCCTTGATAACCACCAAATCCAAGTTGATTTTTATCATTCCCATTTGGGGGTGGATGGGGGTGTCAGGTTGGAGAGTCACAGGACTGCTATGGGTCAGTAATAGGTTACGTTCCTTTTTATTTTTAAAAAATATTTTATTAATTTATTTTTAGAGAGAGGGCAAAGGATGAAGAGAGGGACCCATCGACGTGTGGCTCTCTCTCACATGCCCCCAACTGGGGACCTGGCCTGCAACCCAGGCATGTGTCCTGACTGGGAGTCCAACCAATGATCCTTTGGTTCACGGGCCAGTGCTCAATCCGCTGAGCCACACCAGCCAGTGCAGGTTATGCCTTTTTTTTTTTTTAAAGGACTACGTCCCCATGCTTGGGTTGCGGCAGGGTCCCCAGTTGAGGGCGTGCGGGGTGGGGGCAGCCAATGCACGTGTCTCTGGCACACTGATAGCTTTTCTCCCCCTTTCTCTAAAAATAAGTAAATAAATCAATCTTTTTTTAAAAGACTATGTCCGGCAGGTGGCGCTGTTGTGCTGAAAATGGCCTCAGTAATTGGAGCCTTCGAGTCTGTTTCTCCTATCATGTTTCTCCTCTTGGAAGCCTATTTGGTTTCTTCCGGACAATCTCAGAGGTTTCAGGAATCACCTTTGTATGCGCAGCAGCCTCTGAATGGGCGAATCCCCTCTGACCCTTATGGACGTTTACAGCACAAGCCTGGACAATCATCAACACCAGTTATACTTTCAGCTGTGGCAGCCCCAGTGACGGTACAGCACACGGAATTGGTCCTGAGGACCCACTTACAGCGCCACTTTGATTTCCCTTTCCTACTGAAAAATTTGCTCAAAGCCCATCAGTTGAAATTGGGTGATTTTTTTTTTAACCTTATGGGAAAACAAACCAAGGAGTTCAGTGTGTACGGATCAGGAGCTACAGCAACAGCTACAGATCAAGCTATTCCAGAAGGGAGAGCAGGGAGCTCTGAGTAGGGGAGGCTAGCCCCAGGGAAGGGGGGCAGGTGTGGGGAGGGGGCAGCCAGGAGGCTTTTATTTCCTCTTGGCCTCTGGCTTCAGGATTGGCGCACCACTGCATTCTCCCCCTCCCCCTCCAGCTTCGGCTCAGAGAGAACCCAACCCAAGACCATCACCCACCCGCCCCCACAGCATTACTTGGTGCTTTCAGCCACCCCTGCCTGCTGGGTAAGATAGCGACATGGGTACTTGGGTCCTACAGAGCTACAAACTTTTGAGGCCTTCACCTCCATGAAAATTCCCGACATATGCCACTTTTTCTTCAAAGCAGCGGAGGGTGAGATCGTGAGGGGAGAGAGATGGGGAAGCACAGAGGGAGGGAATAGGTCTGTGCAAATAAGCAAGACTTTTGTTCACTTTGGGTTAGAATGGCCACTTGTAGGGCTCAAGCAAATAAATTGGCAATGTTTTGGGTTTATGTAAAGCTCTATTTCAAATGCCCTAACTAATACCATTTTATTTCAGCTTTCAGGACTCTTTGATTCAGTGGCCATGTCCCTATTGCCTCTTGGGTGGGGCCGTGGGGCTTGCTGCCCAACTCTCACAGTGCCCCCTCCACTCCTGGCACGGAGGAGTGAGCAGGAACAAAGCACCGTCCAGGCGGCGTGTCTGCATCATGCGTCTCACTGCTTGGCCTCGTTAACGGGTAGAACAGTGGGAGACCCTCTCTAGCCACTCTTGGCCTGCTGCCCACCATTTGGAAGATTCGCTAACATGTGCCAGGGGTCTTTTCATATCTCCTGATCTGAGATACCCACAGGGTCCTGTCCTTCACTGTTCCAGAAAGCACATCTGTCAGAAAGCACATCCTCACTGCCAAATTGCCAGGGTCTGGCATTTGAGCTAACCCTGCTGATAAGTGGAATAGTTATTCTCTTACCATTTCATGGATGCTGGCCAAGATGAGATGCCTGGGTCAGAGACAAAAGATTTTAGTATTTGTGGCACAGCAAGCAACACAGCGTAATGTTTACATTGACTTCCTTTGCCCCAAGTCCCACAGGGACAATGTGGAGGGTCCAGTAGATTCTGCACATGTAGTGCGTTTGTGCTGCTTCTGAGGAACATGGAGTTTGGGGAACCCACCTCTTTTATAGCAGGAAATAAGCGAGCTTGCTCTTAGTGCTAGAGGGAGATATTAGTTCATCTCTCACAGTTGCTAACCACAAATACAAGTCAGAGAAATGGAGTGGGCAAAGGGCAGTTAGGACCTTGATCTTAGCACACCCAGCAACGATGTGCAGGGCTACTCAGGGCTCACGGCCAGTTGCCTTTCCCAGTAGTTCCCACCCATGACCACTTCTGGGTCACGCCTGACTCTTCTTTAAAAGTCCTGTGTCTTAGTCCAGATGCCCAAATTAGATGATAGCAGAAAAAAAAAGAAAAGAGAAATCCAAACTATTTTAAGATCACAAATGCAAACTACTTAAACAGGTATGAGCTGATCAAAAAGACTAGTATACATGCCCTGGCTGGTATGGCTCAGTCACTGAATGCCAGTCTGTGAACCAAAGGGTCACTGGTTTGATTCCCAGTCAGCGTACACGCCTACCTTTCAGGCTGGATCCCCAATCATGTGAGAGGCAACCATACATTGATGTTTTTCTCCCTCTCTTTCTCCCTTCCCCTCTCTCTAAAAATCAGTAAATAACATCTTTAAAAAAAAAAAGATTCCCTTAAAAAAAAAAAGAGGAAGGAACAGATATGGCTGGAACTGTTCTTTCTCCCCCTTTCCAGCTGTGAATACAGAAGCAATGTCCAGAGCTGCAGCAGCCATATGGTTGGTATGAGGCACCAAGGACAAACATCTCTGACAACACACTAGGCTGAAAGAGTGAAAAGTTAGAGAGCACAGATCTCCAAGCAGCCAAGACAACCCCAAGAACGCCTTACCTTCAGAAGCAAAGGGAAAAAAAACCACCAACCCTTACCTTTTTAATTATTTTTCTGTTTATTGCAGCAGAACACATTCATAACTGAAGCATACACATGGGCACAGGTGCTTTGTGGGACAAATTCTTCTGTAATTTTGTTTTTAGGAATGTCACTTGTAAAATGCATGTAACTAGAATTTTATAAAATCAGTCTGAAATTTTCCTTTAGTCACACTTACAGGCTTAAAGTAAGTTCTGTCTCCACTAACAGTGCTGCCCAGGGGAGTTAAGGTTTGGGACACACTCTTAAGGAAACCACTCTCTGAGTGAAGAACAAGACCACATGGGGAAAAAAAACCCCAAACAAAAACCAGTGAGGAGACTTGATTAATGCCAAGTAACTGGGCAGACTAAGATTGAAGGAGAAACCAGACACACACACTTTCTCCCATGGACTGTGTTGTGTTCTTTTACACCTTTAGTGCCTGCCATATAAATGTTCAGCAAGTATTGGTTGAAAGAATTACAAATAGGTAGGCACATTAAGACAGATTCCCCAGTATTGGTTCTCAACTTGTTATTCAATTCAGGCCTTTGTTTGATAAACATTTTATAAGAGGGTACCCCAGAAACTCAGAATTATCTTCTGGAGGGCGGGCCCCTTATAGCACAGGCTTCCCCAGCTAGGTGAATGTTCTAGGAACCCATCTGTATTAGTGTATCAGTTGGCGTTGTTGTGAGAGGCTGCATTTGGCTTTGGTAAGTTTTTTTTAAGGCTCTCTCAATGCATTTGCACATTTCATGAACACACCTGCCCACATTGTGTTGAGTATGCAGCAGATTCTGACCCAAAACAGCATGACCCCCATGCCTCATCCTCCCTCTTCAACAGATCTCACCCCAAGTGACTTTTAAAAAATTTCTCCAGATGAAAAAAGTCCTCACCGGGAAACATTCTGCAGATGTGGAAGAGGTGAAGCAAAAAACAGCAACACTAAAAGGCATCAGAATCCATGAGCTCCCTGGTAGTGACAGGGAGCACATTGCATCAATTGGAGAATACTTCCAAGGTGACTGAACATGTTTAAACATGTAAAAATAAATACATAATTTTTAATAAATAAATTTCGGCTTCTGGGGTGGGGGTCCTTCCTTGTATAATCCCATATTCTTCTTTAATGTTATTTTGACGTTTCAACATTAAATATGGTGACTGAAAATAAAGCAATAAACAGAGCGGTTGTGTGTCAACCTCCAAGGAAGCGGGTAAGTACAAAGGATAAAAGAGAGAAATGGAGAGGAGTGGTCGAGGGTGTTGGGTGGAGCAAAAGAGAAAAATTCGGGGTCCTAGGACAGACCGGAAGTCAGGGTGCCCGATCCGCGCAGGCTTCCAGCGTCACTTCCCTCGCGACTTCCGTCAAAGAACATGGCTGCTCTCAGCTGTGCCCGCTGGCTGACCCGAGTAAGACCGGGGAGCAGGTCGCGCGGGGGGGTGGCGGGGGCGGGCTGGGATTCGGCAGGGTTTTACTTGGCTCACTGGAGAACTACGTAGCCTACCTTACAGGCTTGTGTGTGTCTGTCGCAGGCGCTGGTTGCCGCCCCGACCCCTGGGGCATGGAGGGGCCTGGGCACCTCCGCGGTGGCGCACGCCACCTCGCGCGTCCAGGTAAGAGGAAGGCCCGCTGTGGTCTTGTCCATTCCCCGCACCCCTCCTACCCAGCCTCTGCCTCCACCCCCCACCCCCGCCCCGACTCCTGCTCCCACTCCAGCTCTAGCTCTGATGGCCCCAGTCGCAGGCCGAGGACGTGAGGGTGGAGGGCGCCTTTCCCGTGACCATGGTGCCAGGAGACGGCGTGGGGCCTGAACTGATGCATGCTGTCAAGGAGGTGTTCAAGGCGAGTGGCCTGGGGGAATCAGCCGGCTGGGACCATGGGGTGGGTTGGTAAGAATTTACTCGATCATGACCCTGTAATTTGTGGGACCTGTCCCTGAAGGCTGCCTGTGTCCCAGTGGAGTTCCAGGAGCATTACCTGAGCGAGGTGCAGAATATGGCTTCTGAGGAGAAGCTGGAGCAAGTTCTGAGTTCCATGAAAGAGAACAAGGTGGCCCTCATTGGTATGTGTGCCCCCTCGCGTCGTGCCATTTCAAATCAAATGACCGAATGTTCATTAAGCTTTCCACCGCGCGTACTAGTACGTGAATTCCCCTGAGCTCCTACCGGGCTCGTGGGCATTTGTTCCTACCAGTTGGTAGCACAGGAGCTGAGAGATCATGTGAGCTGTTCGTGCAGGAAGGCTCCAAGAATTGCCACTTTGTCATGAGTCTACACCATGGGTCCTCAAGTCTTGTTAATTGTGTTTTTAGAATGCAACTTCTAGCTACCTCTTTTCTCTCTTCCCCCGGTTCCCAACTTGGTTCCTCTCATTAGATTTCTTTGGTTTCCAGTTCTGCCCCTGAAATCCATCTTCTCCTGAGAAGACCAGCATGACTTTGCTATGCCCAGTCTTAGCACAGGAAAGTTAGTTCTTTATATGGTGACTCTCAGCTTTTCTGGCTCATTTCCACAGCACTTGTTCTGTGTTGTGGTCACACTAGGCTTCGTTAGTTTCCAAATACAGGTACTGCCTTAAATTATGCTGTTTCTTCTGCCCAGACTATTCTAATGCTCTCTGTCAGAATCCTCTTCACTCACTGTATTAGTTTCCTAGGGGTGGTGTAACCAATTACCCCACAAACGGTGCCTTAAAGTAACAAAAATTATTCTTTCACTGTTCTGGAGGCCAGAATTCCAGAATTAAGGTCTTGGCAAGGTTCTTTCTGAAGGCTTTGGGGAGAGACCTTCCTTGGCTCTTCCAGATCCTGGTGGCACTTGGAGGCTCCGGGCGTTCTTTGGCTTGTAGGTGCATCACTCCAGTCACTGTCCCTGTTTTCATGTGGCTTCCTCCTCTCTCTGTGTGTGCATTTGTTTCTGCTGCTTGTCTTGTATGAGGGTTTGCCATTGGATTTTGGGCCCACCCTAATCCAGCTTGATTTCAGCTCAGGATTTTTTATTATATTTGCGAACAGTATTTCCCTAACGAAGGTCTTGTTTACAGGTTCTGGGGGTTGCGGTATGAACATATAATTTTGGAGGTCACTATTCGATCGACTACACTCAACCAAAGATCTGGCTGAAGTGCCAGCTGTTCTGTGACATTTCCTGATATTAACAGAGGGTTTCTTTGTGTGTCATTTAAAAAAAATATGTCCTTTGTAGTGTCTGTCATCCCATTGCGTTATTTGCCCCTTGGGGACAGGAGTTGTGTGTTGAATTTTTGCCTGATATCGCTAGTACCTTACACATAGTGGATGGAAATCCACATAGTGGATTGTTTTGGGTTGAAAAAAAATCTCAAATAGGTAGCCACAGAAACATCAAGAAAGGTCAAAGATCCCCTAGCATTATTTCTCAACATATTAAACCCAGGCTTTCTGATAATATGAAAAATCCTTCTGTCCTCCTTTTAGGTCATTTTGAGGTTTCAACCTAAATATGGTGACTTAAAATGAAACAGTAGACAAAATGCTTCTGGTTTTAACTGCACCGTTCTCCTTTGCCACTTGCCTCTAGAGGAGTTTGAGGGTCACTGGTGGGGAGTGGGTTATGGGAGTCTAGGTTAACGTGGTGTCACTGAGGGGACTGGACACTGATCTGGGTTCCCTTGGGCTTGGCTTGTGCCTGACATATTTTGCTCCTGCCACTTTGTTTATGCAGGAAAGATTCACACCCCGATGGAATATAAGGGGGAACTAGCCTCCTACGATATGCGGCTGAGGTAGGTGGCAGGGGACCACGGGTCAGAGGGAGTACTGGGACATCAGGCACAGTGCTGATGGCTCTGCCTGCCCCCAGGCGTAAGCTGGACTTGTTTGCCAATGTGGTCCATGTGAAGTCCCTTCCTGGGTACGTGACTCGACACAACAACCTAGACCTGGTGATCATCCGAGAGCAGACAGAAGGGGAGTACAGCTCTCTGGAGCATGAGGTGATGCTCTAGAAATTGGGGGCAGGGGGTGAAGGTGGGAAAGAGGCAGAGCTCCTCCTTTCCAGTGTCACTCAGTTGTATCTCTCTTCTTCCCCAGAGTGCGAGGGGCGTGATTGAGTGCTTAAAGATTGTCACTCGAACCAAATCTCAGCGGATTGCAAAGTTCGCCTTCGACTACGCCACTAAGAAGGGGCGGAACAAGGTCACGGCTGTCCACAAGGCCAACATCATGTGAGGGACATGGCTTTGCGCGGGGTAGATCCCTGTGTAGGTAGTTCCCTGTACTCTCTTAACTGAACCTGTTTCCTCTGGCTCATGGACAGGAAACTTGGGGACGGGTTGTTCCTGCAGTGCTGTGAGGAAGTTGCTGAACTGTACCCCAAAATCAAGTTTGAGACTATGATCATAGACAACTGCTGCATGCAGGTAAGGCCCTTCCCACATCTGCATATCACAGGCTGAGGGAGGGCGGGGGTAGAATTGATTTCTCTCCTCCATGCCCACATTTTCCCTTCCAGCTGGTGCAGAATCCTTACCAGTTTGATGTGCTGGTGATGCCTAATCTCTATGGGAACATTATTGACAATCTGGCTGCCGGCCTGGTCGGGGGAGCTGGTGTGGTACCCGGGGAGAGCTATAGTGCAGAGTATGCAGTTTTTGAGATGGTGAGTGAGGTCACCTCCTCTCTTACCCCTCTGTGTGCCCTTCTGACCTCAGGCCCCCTAATAGCTACCCTCATGCCTCTTCTCAGTGTTCCTAGCCTTACCTCTCTCTTCCCCGATGCCCTTCCCCGATCTTAGTTTCTGCGTGTCGGCTCCCAGTGACTCGGGCCTGCCCCTCTCTCCACAGGGTGCCCGGCACCCATTTGCCCAGGCAGTGGGTAGGAATATAGCCAACCCCACAGCCATGCTGCTCTCCGCTTCCAACATGCTGAGGCACCTGAAGTAGGTAGTGGTGGCCTGGGGGAGGAGGCTGGGTGTTATGAGGGGGGGTGCAGGTGGGGAATTTGGGGCCAAGGAGGAGGGAGTCTCAATTGCTTTCTGTCCACATTGACAGTCTAGAATATCACTCCAACATGATTGCAGAGGCGGTGAAGAAGGTGATCAAAGTTGGCAAGGTGAGTTTAGAAAGGCTGTAGGGTTCAAGGCCTCAGCACTGCTCTCTGGGAAACCTGAACTGGGGTCTCCTTTCCCTCTAGGCTCCCAGAACGTGTCTAATCTTGCCGTCCCTCTCAGGGCTGTTCTTCGCCTCCCTTCTCTTGGCTGTTTCATCCTCTTGATCTCTTTTGCCTTTTAGTTCCCATCTGCTTGCTATTCCCTCTTTCCTGCTCCATCTATTGCAGGGCTGTCAAACTTATTTTCACAGGGGGCCACATCAGTCTCGTGGTTGCCTTCAAAGGGCCAAATGTAATTTTAGGACTGTTTCATGTAACTACTCTTTAACTAGGGGCAAGCAGCTTGGGGCTGCCACCGGGTAGAAACAAGGTACTGCGTCGGATACAACAAGGTCAGTCCTCGGACCTTGTGTTTGCTACCTGTGATCTCTTGGCACTTTTATGGGCCATCTTAATGCTAAACTTGCAACTCTCTAACTGGGAGCACAGAATCACGGATGGAGGAGCAGAGGGAGATAGCAGGCAGGATGAGGCAGGGGTGTCAGCCTCCTTCACCCTGGAAGCCCATCCTCATTGCATTCTCCTGTCATTTTCTTTCCTCCCACTTGGTCTGTCTCCGTATTTCCTCAAGGCATCTTCATCCTGTTTCCAGCCTGCATTTTCCATCTTCCTGTTCAGTTTCCCATTCATTCTGTCCAGGCTGTAGCATAGCTTTAATAGTGGCTCTGGCCCGCAGGAGTCCATGTTTTTCCAAACCTGGCAGCCTCCTTGTATCTCTGCTGCATGTCTTTTGGCCTTGTCACCCATTCTGGGACTCCCATTTCCATCACACCACCCCACCCCCCTTCATGGGCTCTCTTCTCTTCTTCCCCACGGCTGTTGCCTGTGGTGGATGTAGGTGCGGACACGAGACATGGGCGGCTACAGCACCACAACGGACTTCATCAAGTCTGTCATCGGCCACCTGCACCCATATGGGGCCTAGAGCCCTTTATTCCCTCCAACCTCATGAGGACCATACTTCTTACACTCCCCTTCCTACAGTGGACCAGAGAAGAGCCCTTAAACCTCTAGACCATAACCATCTTCTGGGCAGAGCCTAGGTTGTCCCGGGGCTGGCTTCCTTAGGGAACTGTATAGGGTGTGGGGAGGGTTAGGGATGGGTCCAGGCCACAGGGATGATGACGCTTCTCCCCGCAGGTTCGAACTCCTGACATGGGTGGCTATGCCACCTGCCAAGACTACACTGAGGCTGTCATTGATGCCCTTTCCCACCTGCATCCACATAAAGGTGTCTAATAAAACATGTGCATCAAGTCTTGTGAATTTGTTTTTATTGGGATACAAGTGGTGGGTCACTGGGGAGTACTGTCCATTCTAATCTTCCTGGGAGAGCTTTTGGAGCTTTTTCTTTTTCTTGGAGCTACTGCTCTTGCTACCAGCAGCTTCTTCAGGTCCACTGCTGAGTGGCTCCTCTTTGGAAGAAAATTTCCTCTTTTTCTTGGGGATGCTCCTGTTTCCTGCCTCTTCAAGGTCACTAACTGGTTCCTCCTTGGAGAAAGATTTCTTCCTCTTGGAGAGATTCCCACTGCCAACTGTCTCCTCAAGATCACTATTAACCAGCTCCTCCTTGGAAAAAGATTTCTTTTTCTTGGGTTTGGATAAAGGAACAGGTGGGTCTTCCATTCCATTCTCCTGAGGAGCCTCCTGGAGCTTTTGCTTTTTCTTCTTTTTGGGTTTTTCACTAGTCTCCTAAAGAGGGAAAACAGGCATGAAACAATGTTGCCACCCACTGCATGAGCACCCCTCCCAACCACCCCACAGAATTCCAGTAGGGCAGAAAGAATGCTGTTGATTTGCCCAATGTATCTGGGATGGTTTAACTGTTAAATAAAAGGGAAAAACCCACCATGCTGGTCACAATATAGCCACCACACCGAGTGCCACAGGAGATGACAAACCAGACAGCACGAAAACCCCAGGGAAGATTTTAACCTAACAGGTGGGAGACTTCCCTGCCCCCACCCCCACTATGAAGAGCTACCACCTCCAGACGCACGGCCCAAGGACAGCAGGAATTCACACTGCCCCTGGTTGAGGACTCCTGGGAGGCAGCCGAGGACAGAACACACTTGCCCAGGGAACCGGTGTGTGCTACAACCAGCTCTCTGGGCTCTTGGACAAGTTCTCTCAGCACCTATCTCCTTCCTATAGAATCAAGAGGCAGTTTGAGAGGTTGCAGGTCCTTGTTGCAGTGCAAAGGCCTGGACACACATCCTTTGTCCTGCTGTTGAAAACTACAGCCCAGGACCTTCACTTTGGGCTGATCTGCCTACTGACCTCGCACTCCTCCGGTGCACTGCTGTTTTCTGAAGATGCAAGGGCAATCGCAGCCAGCCGTTTCTTTTCCTTCTTCAAGCGTTTTCTCTCCTGCTTCTCCAGCTTCCTAGTAATCTCAGCAGCCGCTTCCTCTGCCTGGCCAAAGAAAAGTGCTGAAAAGGCTCTGAAGACCCCTGGCCTTCCAGTCCTCTCCTGGATTTATTGGATCAGGCTCATTAAATCAGTTTTTTGCCTCCACTCTACAAGGTCAGGCTGAGACAGTTCATCACCTCCAATGCTTGGCTATGGTCTTCCCCCTACCCAGCAAAACCCAAACTGACCTGAACCATGGCCTCCTTCATGACCTCCAGATTTTTTCGTGGAATGTCTCCAGTCTCATAGAAGGATAGCCGTTCCTCCACTTGTTCTCGAAGCTTCTCCCCAAATACACTTGTGGGTACCTCTGGATGTGTGTGTGTGGGTAAACAAAGCCTGTCAGCTCCTAAAGGGACAAAGTACACTCCACATCCCCAGGGTTTCCTCCGCCCTCAGCTTCACTCAGACCCAAAGTCTCAACACTCACTAGGTGAACTGCTGTTGACGAAAAATGTTACCATCATTGTAGAAGCTGCTAAGGCATTCAGCCCCCCACTCCCAACTGCCAACTCCCCTGGCCATACCAGAGAAGCAATCAATTCGTGAGGCAATACTGCATTTGTTTGCCAGGTATCGGGAGATGCGCCCTTTGTTCTTGGCAGCTGCTCGGCCAATGAAAGTGGAGTGGAAAATAAGTCCATATTTTGGGGTGTTACCCCTTGTCTTCAAGGCTCTGGGAGAAGAATATTCAGTGGAAAGTTTAAGATCAGAAACTTCAACCCTATTAACCAAGGCAACTCCTCCCCAACCCCCGGTATCCGGAGTGAGCCTCAGGCTGGGCTGGGTCTCTATCCCACCTCATGCCAACCCACAGCTCCCAGAAGCAGAGGGAAGGCATCCAATGTCGCTGACCTGGAAATGGTCCCTTTGCTGGGCCCTGGGAATCACTCAGACACCAGGGCTGGCCATCACCCCCATAGCAGAGGCCTGTATAGGTCAGGATGCCCTGGTCAGCCATCACTGTGATCCCCAAACAAGCAGTGGGCACCAGAAGTGGTACCTGAGTGCGGGCAGGTGCCCTCACTGGTACCTGAACAGGGCCTTTTCAGCCCCAAGGATCTGCACTGTGGATGCTGGATACTTGGCCAGGTTGGTGAGGCTGCCAGCATGAGCAATGAGACGCGCACCTACCTGGAGAATGATTCAAGGAATTAGTCACAAAAACTCGATCCACCAACCCACCCACTGCATAATCCTGCTTCACCTCTCCCCATCAAGTGCATGTGGGGAAAACGTAGTGGGTCAGGAAATGCAGCAGTATGGACATACATGGTACCATTCCTTGCTCCCCCAGTTTTGTGTTTCCCCATGACGCACCGCTTCCCCAATCAGGGCTGACAGGCTGGGGGCCACTTGGCTCATCTTGGACCGCAGGTAAGTGTGCAGGCTCTGGCGGTACTCTGACAAAGACACCACCCGGCTAGAGAAGCTCTCAATGTTTATCAAGTCAATGGCCGATATGTCCATGCCTGTAGGACACACAGAGTATGACTGTGGGAGCCAGATATTCAGAGTCCGGCACCTTATCTTGACTGCCAGGTACTGTACTGACCCATGGAGGCCCGTGAGGCATCCAGAATAGCCTTAGCCTTGGCCCCATCCATCGTGAGCTCCTCCAGCTTCTCCAACTTTTCTTCATTCAGCTCCCTTCGGTTTCCAATGAACTGAGCAAGGCGGCAGTATGTAGCATTGTCATTGATGATCTTCACCAGCTCAGGAAAGTGATATCCATACCACTCCCTGCAAAGAGCCACAATGACTCCCTGGCCCTCCTGCCACGTCTCAAAGCTACAGCCTCAGCTCTCCCCACATCTCGACTCCATGTCCCCCCATTCACAATACAGACCAGGCAAAGGGCCTGGGCTGAGGTGTATATGGGGTGGGTTTACTCTGCCTCCTCTTTCTGTACAGGCAGCGTAAGAACACAGCCTGTGGTAAGCACCGGGAGGCCCAGTCCCACCCCACCCTTGTTCTCCCCACAGGAGCCATTTATCACCTCAGGATTCAAAATTAGCTAACCCACAGGCCGCAGACCCTATCCTCAAAGGCTGCCCCTGCACTTTACCTGACACGCATGGAGAAAGTATTGATGTCCTTATCCAGTTGGTCCAGGAGGCTAATGGACTGTATAATCATATTGTCCACCCGGTTCACATTGAACTTAACTTTGGCACGAGAGTAACTGTGTCCCAGCCCCAGCTGGGCTTTACAAGCAGACAGATCAGTCAGGCCCTTTACCAAGTTGTGGAAGTGCAGACGAACTCCTGGAGGAGGGTAATACTATGAGTAAGGAAAGGTTCTGGGCTTGCTCCTGTACCCCCGGGCACAAAACAAGGAGGACACCTCCCCAGAAACAACCTTAAGCACCCTAATGTTTTCAGAACCCTCCTAAAAGATGCTAAGAATGGCATGAATATTAGTTAACAAATCACGATCTCACCTCGAAGAATCTCAGCTATCACGCCTCCAGTCTGGCAATTGTACCCTAATTCCTCTTGTATAGCTGCACCAATCTTGGTGTCCCCAACCCCCAAGAGAACTTTCTTCTTTTTGGCTGGCAGGTGAGTCTCCAAGAACAGGCGGAGGTCCTCATGAACAACACCTTGGGACAAAAAAACAAAACAGCTCCCACTAACAGGCTGAAGGACGCTCATATCATAAAAGTGATCCTGTCCCTTCAACTGCGGATCATGGCACAGACCAACTGGTCCAGCACAGCATGCTGGGATGGCCCGCCTAGACAACCCCCTTCCTCAGGCTTTGCTCAGAGACATGGAGACATCAGTGACTGCACTCAGGGGATTGACAGACTCAAGTCATCACTGCAAAGCCTGCATTAACCATGGGAGAAACAGCACTCAGGTCCAATATAACAAGCATGGAATATATAATTAAAAGCTTAAAGCATAACCTGTGCGCTATGAAAATACTTACCACCTGATTTGCCTCCTGGGGCCAATCATTTTTCTTGGTTTTTATGTATCAGCATTGCTCTTTCCAATCAACTGAACCAAGCAGCACAGGACCACATGTGATCGGTTTTAGCACTGAACCAGTCCCTCCTGCCAGTTTTCATCGACTCACACAACTCATTCATTACTTGTGCCCACGAGGTAAGACTGCATGATGGACTGTGTGTTTTAAATATAACGGTTCATCTTCCTGAAATACGCAGAGGTGGCCGACTCACCTTCAGACACAGAGTTGGCATTTTCCAAGGCAACCTGGGATGAGGCAAAGGGACAGAAGGCCACGAGACGAACAATGTTGTGGAACTTGCCCAGGTTGAGCACGCACTCCTCCACCTAGGGGGCGGAAAACAGTGTAAGCGTCTTTCTTCCCCCACTTTTGCCTCTAGTTTTCAGCCCTGGGCACACGTAACAACAAACGGAACGCTAAGAATGAGCCTATAATGGGCCTTAAATCTCAGTTCTAATCCGCTGGACGGGAGGCTTCTAAATGATCCTAACACGACTCTAATCATAAATGTAGGTAAGGACCCCGAGCTCTGGGGTTTCTGGGTCCAGCGCACACCCCCAACGCGTGAGGCCGGCCACGTGGGAGCGCGCGATGCATGCTGGGGCCGGTGAGGCCGCCAAGACCCCCACTTCCACCCACCTGCGGCTGCAACAGGCTAATCTCTTCCACCTCCTTCAGCGCCAGCAGTGCGTAGCCGACCGCGTGCTCGAACAGCACGTGCAGCAGCACCTGGAAAGGGAGCCAGGTTACCAGAGTCAGCGCGGTCCCTGCCTTTGTCCGGCCCCACTCCCAGGGCGGGTCCGGCTCCGGCTCCGGTTCCGGCTCCAGTCAGGGCTGCGGCCCGAACCCGGGCCCAACTCCGGCTTTGGCCTAGCTCGCAACCCACAACCTTTCCTCACCATGGCGCCCGCTCCTGGCCCAGCTCGCAATGCGGCTAGCGGGCTCTGGCGCGCGGAACCTGACACTGGAGGCCACGCCCTCCACGCCGTCGGCCAATCAGAGGTCGGGGACGAAACCTTTCACCGACTCCGGAAGGGTCTGCGGCGGGCTGAGAGGGTGGAGCGAGCGCCGGCTGGCAGACCTTTTCCGGTCTCTGCAGCGGCGCCAACCCGCTCGGTTGCCGGTACGCGCGGGCTGGGGCCGAGTCCTACTGGCAGCGGGATGGTTTGGGGAAAATGCTTTTCTGAGAAATAGTTCAGGTCTTCATGTCCTCATTATATAAGTTACGGGCCAGAGAGTTGGGTGAAAACCGGCCGGGAGGTCCTGCACGGGCTGAGGTGACCACCCCCAAGCCGGGAATGGGTGTCCAGCTCGCTTCCTGCAGCGCGGGTGACGTCGGGCTAGTGCATTTCTACCCCCGCCCCTAGGACCCCTCCGTCCCCGCCTCCCACTAGGGGCGGACCCTCCCTGGAATCCGGGCTCGCGCGTCTTTTCGTCTTCTCCACTAAGGAAGCGTGGCCTGGAGCGTGCTGGCGCAGACCTTGAGGAAACGGCACTCCTGGTGGATGGTTCTGTGCTTTCAAATTGTATTTTATGTGTCTCCTTTCCTAAAATGAGGGTGGCAGGCGATAAAGTAGGAAAGAAAGACGACCCCACCTTTTCCTGGGTAGCGTGCTCCCTCCCCTTGAGCTCCTTTTGCGGGAACACGTGTTGCTTGCCTTGTTGAAGGGCCCTTCGATATTAACCCCCTAGTTAGCTCCGAGGGAACAGGAGCTGCCGCCACCTGTGCCACGAGGGTGGCTTTTGGACACTCAGGCGACTTTTGAGTTAGTTTTGCTTTAGTAGTTGATATTAAGACTTGGTTATCCTAAAGTAACATATATGCCAGTAAATTTTTAAAAAGTAGTTTTAAGGTTTTTTTTTAAAGTAACGTTTAATATATTTTATTTTCTTAAGCAGTTCTGTTACTTGACAAAATCCAAGTACTGAGTTCACTCCTAAAGCCTATTATATTAAACTTAAAAATATGGTTGGTAAGTCTTAAAATTTCATAATCTCAGTATTGCTTGTGAACGTTTTGTTCCGTATATCCACTTACAGTCACGAGTCTAAATTAGTTATACCATTTCATATTTTAAAATAGAATTGCAAAGTTAATAATGTTAAGTTCTCTTAAACGTTAAAAATACCAGATTAAATAGATGGTTTTCAAAATGTAATGGAGAATATTAATGCTATGATTTTGATTGAGTTCATTACTTTAATACTAAATTCTAACTATTCCCAGGGTTACAGGTTCTTATCTGCTAAGGTTAGGGATTTTCTTTTTTTTTTGGAATTTCCCAATTAAAATTTTTATTTATTTTAATTTTTTATTTTTAATATATTTTTTATTTTATTGATTATGCCATTACATTTGTTCTGTTTCCCCCTTCATTCCCCTCCACCCTGCATACCCTTCCCCCACCATTAGTTCATGAACACGTGTCTCAAGTTCTTTAGATTCTGTATTTCCCCTACTATTCTTACCCTCCCCCCTGTCTATTTTCTGTTTACTGTCTATGCTACTTTTCTGTACCTTCTCCCCCTACTCCTCTGTTGCTAACCCTCCACGTGATCTTCATTTCTATGGTTCACTCCTGATCTAGCTGTCCTCTTAATTTGCTTTTGTTTTAGGTGTGGTTGTTAATAATTGTGAGTTTGCTGTCCTTTCAGTTCATCTTTTTTATCTTCTTTTTCTTAGGCAAGTCCCTTTAACACTTCATATAATAAGGGCTTGGTGATGATGAACTCCTTGAACTTGACCTTATCTGAGAAGCACTTTATCTGTCCTTCCATTCTAAATGAAAGCTTTGCTGGATAGAGCAGTCTTGGTTGTAGGTCTTTGGATTTCATGACTTGGAATACTTCTTTCCAGCCCCTTCTTGCCTGTAAGGTCTCTTTTGAGAAATCAGCTGACAGTCTGATGGGAACTCCTTTGTAGGTGACTGTCCCCTTATCTCTTGCTGCTTCTAGGATTCTCTCCTTCATTTTAATCTTGGCTAATGTAGTGATAATGTGCCTTGGTGTGTTCCTTCTTGGGTCCAACTTCTTTGGGCTTCCTGGATTTCCTGGAAGTCTATTTACTTTGCCAGAATGGGGAAGTTCTCCTTTATTACTTGTTCAAATAAGGTTTCCACTCGTGGCTGTTCCTCTTCCCCTTCTGGTACCCCTATAATTTGGGTGTTGGAATGTTTAAAGATGTCCTGAAGGTTCCTAAGCCTCTCCTCATTTTTTTAAATTCTTTTTTTCCTTCCTTCTGATCTGCTCCATTGATTTGATTCCCAGTTTCATTTCCATTCCTGTGCATTTCCATTCATTTCAACTAGTTTGACCTTCATATGTTCCTCTAATTTATGACTAAAATCAACCAGGTCTGTGAGCATCCTGATCACCAGTGTTTTGAACTGTGCATCTGAAACTTTGGCTATTTCTTCATTGTTTAGATTTATCGGCTCTGGGGCTCTGAGTTCTGGGGTTCTTGGGCCATGTTTTGATCTGTCTGCGCCTGTTACGCATGAGGAGAGGCACCTTAGGTGTTCACCAGGGCGGGGCCACCCAGGTGGCTGGTTTGTGATGCTGTATGTGGGGGCGGAGTCAGAGAAGGAGCAATGGTGGTCCTCTCCGCTCGCCACCCGCCTATTTATCTGAGTGCAAATGTGCGAGTCTGCTGCCGGGGCCTGTGTGGTGTGTCTCAATACTGTCTCTTCAATGATTTATCTGCATGCAAATGAGCGACTGTAGATAGCCAGCCGAGCTGCCCGTAGCTACCCCGCACCTGGGATCCACGCCCTCGGCGCACAGGTAGCCAACCGGGTCGGGGGATCTTTTTTGCTCGACCCGCTCCGCTGCTGGCTTCGCCCCTCTCACTGGTTTAGCTGAGCATTTTGTTGTTTTCAGACTTCATATTGTTCGATTTTTTTGTGGTTTGGTTGCATTGATAGTTGTTAAAACTTTGTTATTTTTAGATTTGGTTGTGCGAGGAAGCAGTGTTTCCACCTACGCCTCCGTCTTGGTGGAAGTCCTCAGAATTTCCCCGGGATTTTCAAAGAAGTCAGAATCCATGAATGGATTGCAGAATTAGTTCAGAAATAGGATGAAAGAGAATAGGAAATAATAGTATGTCACATAGAGTTAGGAATAATCATCTGTAAAACTTGTCTCAGCTAAATATACATGTTACGCTTATATGTTTATATATGTAACATGTAGAAGTACATGTATACACACATATATGTGTATATATATTGATTTGTTTATGTGCATTACATACAAAAAGCCTGACAGTTACTGAGCTAAAAGCTACCCACGGTCATATTTTGGACAGATAAATCTGCACCTGAGTCTAAGAGCATGTGAGCCAGGAGCATGATGTCCTAGGGTAGGAGAAGATGGACGTCTCAGCTCAAGCAGAACTACAGTCATCTCTCGGTACTCATTGGCTTCAGAACTTGTCAAACCCTGTACTCATCACATTTTGACAAGAAAAAAATGTTTTAGCACTCAGCACTTGTTCAAGATTCATTGCACTTGCTAAAATTTGTATGAGTCACAGCACAAGAGAAAATGCTTCATTGTTTGGTACTGGTTGGTTTTGATACTTGTCACAAGTTGTGGAACGAATTAATGATGACAGGTACTGATGTACCACTGTGATTTGCTCTTCTCTCACCTTTTGTTCCGTTCTGGCACTTGAAATGCCATCCACATTTGGGAGGGCCAGATCACCAGATCAGTGCCTGTAGCATGCCAGGTATCTTTCTAGATGCAGGATACAGTAGTAAGCAAACCAAGTCAGTGCCATCATGGAGTTTACATTCTATGGGGAGACTGAAAATCAAGTAAATATGTTGATAAGTATTAAGGAATA